GTGTCCAAGGTCCTCGAGCAGCTCGGCCGGTGCGCCATCCACGGCCTCTACTGCGTCGGCGCGTCCTGCTGCTGCTGCTGCCCCTGCAGCCTCCCGCGGCGCCAGCCCGTGCGCGGCCGCCTCCTCGTCCGCGTCCGCCACTTCGCGCGCGTCGAGCTGCGCATCATGGAGGGCTACAACCTGCTGGGCGTGGACACGCAGCTCCTGGGCGGCAGCACGTCGGACCCCTACTGCGTCGTCGAGTACCGGGGCAAGCAGATCGCCAAAACCAAAAGCCGCGCGAGGACGCTCGACCCCGCGTGGTACCAGACGCTCTCGCTCGAGGTCGAGGTGCCCCTGGGCGAGGCGACCTTCGACCCGTCGACGACGCTGCCGGGCACGCAGCGCCTGCCCTGGGAGCACCCCGCGCGCGCGTTCCAGCACGCGGACGAGAAGTCGCTGAAGATCGTGCTCTGGGACCACGACACGTTCTCCGGCGACGACGTCATGGGCCAGGTCGTCGTGCGGCCCGAGTTCCTGCTGCGGCCCCAGAACGGCACGCACTGGCCCGTCATGTCGCCCCTGGACCAGAACCTGCCGGGCCAGGGCCACATCGAGCTCTTCGTGCGCACGTCGCAGATCCCGCTCAACTTGGAGCCCGTGCAGCGGCGCCAGTTCGGCGCGTCCGGCCGCTACAAGGAGTGCACGCACGCGGGCACGGGCCGCGAGTACTGGTACGACATCTGGACCTACGAGGCGTTCTGGATCAACCCGGACGACGTCAAGCAGCAGGAGGCCGCGCGCGAGGACGCCGTCGACGACGCGGCCGCGGGCCGCCGCGCGGCGAGGCGCGTCGAGCACAGCGTCCACGACGCCAAGGGCGCGACCCTCGAGAGGCGCCAGCTCGAGGGCGCGGACGTCCACGGCGCGCGCGGCGCCAAGGTCAAGGAGACGAAGAAGCAGCACGCCGCGCACGTCATCAGCCACCTCCTCGACGGCCTCAGCGACCTCAACGCGGACCACCGCGACCCGCAGATGGTCATCGCGATCACGATCATCCGCGCCAACGACCTCTACAACACGGACGGCCGCTTCGGCAAGTCGGACCCCTTCGCGGTCGTGCGCTTCGGGCGGAAGCGGATCGGCCGCACGCGGACGATCATGGACGACCTCGACCCGGAGTGGATCGAGACGATGCAGGGCGTGCTGCCGCTGAGCCAGCCGCACCCGACGGACATCTCGGTCGAGGTCTGGGACTGGGACGCCGTCGGCGACGACGACTTCCTCGGCGAGGCGCGCATGAACAGCGACCTCCTGCTGCGGTCCGCGGACCGCATGATCACGCTGCCGCTCTGCGGTAGGCCGGGCATGAAGGTCGCCAAGGGCACCGTGACGATCCACGTGTCCCTCAAGCTGAAGACGATCATCGAGATCAACTCGCTCCGCCGCGTCGGCAGCGGCAAGCCGTCGTCCGCGGGCCTCTACGCGGCCTGCGTCTGGACGGGCCGCGAGGACGGCGAGGCGGGCCGCACGGAGGCGCTCTGCGACACGAACTACCCGCGCTGGGACCACAAGATGGTGCTCGCCGTGCCCGTGCGCTGGCCCCTGGACACTTTGGTCGTCGAGATCCGGGAGCACAAACAGCGCACGGCCGACGAGGTGCTGGGCCAGGTGCGCATCAACGCGCGGACGATTTTAGCGCTGCCGCGGACGGACGCGGACGGCAACGCGATCCACGAGCCGCCGATTTTACGCTACGCGCTCCGCGACCGCGAGGTCTTGGAGTTGAGCGAGCCCCTGGACCAGACGAAGCGGCGGCGCCGGGGCATCATGGAGAGCCGCCACGCGCCGTCGCAGCAGGAGATGGAGCAGGCGCTCGGCGAGGGCGCGCTCGACGAGACGGGCGCGATGCGCGACGAGATGTCGCTCCTCGAGAGCAGCGACGGCGACACGGACAGCGACCACATCGACGACGACGACTACGCCAAGTTCGAGGACGAGCTCGGCGGCGAGTCGTCCTTCGCGCACGCGGACGACGCGTCGCGCGCGTCCGCGCGCCACCGGCACCGCCGGAAGCGCATGGGCGTCCGGGGCCTCTTCGCGAAGCTCTCCGGCGCGACGCGCGGCGCCTTCGCCCGCGCCGGCGCGGGCCGGTCGACGAAGGGCGGCGCGAAGAAGTCGCCGAGCGCGTCGCCCAAGTTCCTCGCGCGCGCGCTGTCGGCGGGGTCGTCGCTGTCGCTGAAGAAGGGCTCGCAGCGGTCCATGCTCACGGGCAAGGCCATGAAGGAGCGCAAGTCGTCGCGCAAGCGGGGCGGCGTCGCGGGCGCGCGGACGTCGCCCCTCCGGCGGGCCCTGAAGCGCCTCTTCGGCGGCCGCGACGACGCGCCGATCCGCGGCGCGCACGTCGCGCGGAAGACGATGGACTTCCGGAACCTGCTGCGGAAGCAGCAGGGCGACATGGGCGAGGGGAGTAACCTGGACCTCCTCAAGGTCGCGAACCCGCTGGCCGACGACGGCCCGGAAATGGGCATCAAGGTCGCGAAAAAGGACGACCGCTTCGCGCGGACGCGCGCGCGGCGCCGGGGCCGCCGCGCGTCCGCGCGCGACCTCGGCGACGTGCTCACGATCCGCTGCATCGCGCCGCCGGGCACGCTCGCCGTCTTCGCCAACTGGCAGCACCGCTTCGACCAGAGCCCGAGCGGCAACGCGCTGCCGCGCGTGTCCGCGGAGATCGAGGTGCTCCGCGCGGACGGCCTCATCAAGGCGGACGTGCTCGGCAAGTCGGACCCCTTCGCGGAGGTCTACGCCGGCGGCATCCAGATCGGCCGCACGGCGACGAAGCGCAAGACGCTCTACCCGAAGTGGGTCGACGAGCGGTTCCTGCTGCCCAAGTTCAAGGGCAAGTGCCTCGGCGCGCAGGACCTCCTCGAGGCCAAGTGCGAGCTCCGCGTCGTCGACGAGGACATCGTCGGGAAGAACGACTTTTTGGGCTACGCCTGCCTCGACCACGCGGACCTCCTGGCCCAGGCGGGCTGGCGCACGCTCAAGCTCAAGGACGACCCCGCGGGCATCGTCAGCCGCCAGTCGAAGAAGAAGAAGGACGAGATCGCCGTCGCCATCGACCGCGGCACGCTCACGGTGCGCGTGCGCCTCGTCGCCCACGTCCGCATCACGCTCGTCGGCGTCTTCGACCTCGCGGAGACGGACGACGCGCGCGACGCGATCCCGGACCCGTACGCGCGCGTGCTCTACCGCGACGCCAAGTGGGGCGACGACACGCCCCCGCGCACGGACGCGCTGCGGCCCATGTGGTACCACGTCGTCGACGTCGACGTGCCCGTGCCCGACGACGAGGTCTGGGGCGACCCGCTCACGGTCGTCGTCTACGACAAGAAGGACCGGTGGGGCGCGGGGCAGGACGAGAGTGATTCAACGTCGCTTCGACGTGAGTGTTCCGCGCGCGCGCGTTCTGGGAAAAGCATCCACGCTTCGAGACCGTTCCGAGAGATGATCGCTCGTCCAAAAGTCAGCCGAAACGAGTGGACACCGGCCGAGAGAGGAGCCTTTGAAGTTGGGAATTTCGCACCCTCGTCTCGCCCAGGTGGGGCGAGCGCGACGCGACGATCGGCGCCGTGACCATCCCCCACGAGCACCTCGTCTACCCCCACGACTGCCCGGGCGTGCGCGACATCATGGGCGGGCCCGACGGCGACGAGCCCGTCGGCAAGCTCACGCTCCACGTCGAGGCGAGCTGCGTGCCCGGCCGCGTCGAGCCGCGGCGGAACCCGGACGTGGAGCCCGTCTTCGTCGCCGTGCGGGACCCGCGGACGGGGCGGCCCTACTGGTACGACTCCTGCACGCTCGAGCCCGTCTGGGACGACCCGCGGCCCGCGGCGGAGGCCCTCGCCGCGGAGATCGCGGAGCACGAGCGCAAGGCGACGGCCGGCGCGCGGACGTCGCTGCCGCTCGCGCTGCTCCGGGCGAAGCGCGGCTTCCCGGAGCCGCCCCAGTCCCTCGCCGCCGCGGGCGCCTGCGGCCAGGCGCGGGTCTGGTGGTCCTGGCCGCGGGACATGGACGGCCACACGGTCCTCGGCTTCACCGTCGAGCGCCAGCGGCGCCACGACGGCGACGCGGGGGACTGGGAGGACAAGGGCAGCGTCTACGTCGACCCGGCGGCCCAGGCCCAGGCCGACGCCGCCGCCGCCAAGGCGTCGGGCCGCGCGGCGACGCCCGCGGAGCTCGACCGCGCGCGCGCTCGAAAGCCGCCGACGGCGATCGTCGTCGACGAGCTCGCGAACGACGCGTGGTACCGCTTCCGCGTCTTCACGCACAACGACGTCGGCGTCTCCGTGCCCAGCGCCTGGAGCAACCAGACGCGCGTCATCGAGCCGCTGCCCGAGGGCTGGGTCGAGGTCGCGCCCGCCGAGGGCCCGCCGTACTACTACAACGCGAAGATGCGGAAGACGACGTGGAGCCGGCCCGAGCACGACCCCTACAACCTGCCCACGGACGTCTTCCTCAAGTTCACGACCGACGAGCTCGCGAACATCAAGCACACGTTCATGGAGAAGGACGTCGACAAGTCGCACGCGATCTCGCTCCGCGAGTTCGAGAGTTGCCTGCCGATGATCGGCGAGATGCTGTCGCCGACGGACATCCTCTGGCTCTTCTACCAGGCGGACCTGGACCCCAAGGCCGAGCTCGACTACACGGCCTTCGCCAAGGCCGTGGACACGCTCAAGCGCGCGCGCGTCGAGCGCGCGCCGTTCGCGCGGACCGCGGCCGCCAAGGCCAAGGAGTGGTGGGAGTACTACAACCGGCCGCGCGTGCCCAAGAAGAACAAGAAGCTCATCGAGAAGAAGAAGGAGGAGATGGCGCTCAAGGTCGGCGCCTGGGAGAAGGTGCCCCACCCGCAGATCCCGGGCTCCAAGTACTGGCGGAACCCGGACACGGGCGAGGCGTCGTACGAGTCGCCCGCGGAGGTGCGCTTCTTCCTGCCCGAGGCCCTGATCCGGGAGGCGTCGGAGCACCTCAGCGACGAGGAGATGGGCCACCTCGAGGAGCAGTTCAACGCCATGGACCTCGACGGGTCCGGCGCGATCGACGTCGGCGAGCTCAAGCTGCTCGTGAAGACGCTCACGGGCGACGTGCTCAGCGACGGGCGCGCGCGGGGCCTCATGCACGAGGTCGACATGGACCGCAGCGGCCAGATGGACTACGACGAGTTCGTGCTCGCCATGATCACGATGAAGCGCGGCAAGGCGGGCAACGCGTGGAGCCGCCTCGGCCACGCGATCCAGACCATCGAGCGGAACGAGGAGGTCGAGGCGCTGCGCCAGGACGCGGGCCTCCTCAAGCTCGGCACGCGGCGCCAGGGCAAGAAGCGGCCCCACGGCCACTACTGCGTCTGCGGCTGCCGCGCGATCAACAGCGAGACGCAGAAGTTCCTCAAGCGGAAGCGGAAGATGCGCTCCATCTTCCCCAAGCTCACGGCGAAGCAGCTCAAGGCCCAGAGCCAGGGCGGCGGCGCGTCCGCCGCCGCCGCGCTCCAGCACCGCGACACCATCGACGAGTCCGTATACACGGCCGCGAACCTCATCGCCGTCCAGCCCCGCATGGCCGACACCGTCGACGTCCCCAAGTGGTCCATGATCCAGTGCAACCACAAGCGGGAGACGATCCAGTACCCCAAGTAACCTGTCCCCTGTGTCAACATCGCTGTCCCCTGCGTCAACATCACTGCAACTTCGCTTCAAGCGGCGCCATCGATATGGTCGCGGCCAAGCCCTAAGAGCGCTCGCCCTTCACACAACCATGGCGAAGACGACCGGCAAGTTCGGCCGCGTGGACTACTTCGACTACGACAGCGACGAGGCGCGCGAGGAGATGCAGAAGCTGCGCGACGAGTTCGACGGCGCCCTCAAGCTCATGGCCGAGGACCCGGAGTGGCCGTCGTCGATCTACGCGAGCGCCGACGCCGGGCCGGCCATGCCGAAGCTGCCGAGCGAGGTCTGGGCGGCGAGCCGCGCGGCGGCGAGCGCGAGGGCCGCGCCGCGGCCCGGCTGGGCCGACGTCCTGGGCGACGGCTCGCTCCTGAAGCGGTCGACGGCGGCGGCGGCGGCGGCCGGCGGCGCGCGGCGCGCGGCCTGGGGCGACGTCGCGACGGTGCGGGGCTCCGCGCGGTCGGCGTCGCGGGGCGCGCCGTTCTGGGCGACGGCCGCCGGCGCGACCGCGGAATTCGTCGTCGGCGGCGCCGCGGTGCCGCGGTGCTGGTCCGAGGCCGCCGCGACGCTCGCCGTCGGCGAGCGCGCGGACTTCGAGGCCGCCGCGTCGCTCGCCTTCGGCGACGCGCGCTTCGACGCCGCCGCCCGGGCGGCCATGGCCGCCGCGGCGTCGTCGGGCTTCGCGCGCGGCGTCGACGCGGACGAGGCCGTCGCGCTCGACGTCGAGCTCGTCGCGGTCCGGCCCTCCGGCTGCGTCGACGCGTCCGGCGCGCTCGGCGCCGGCGCCGTGCTCAAGTGGACGCGGGACGCGGGCGCGGGCTGGCGCACGCCGGGCGCGCGCTGCGACGTCGTCTACGAGCGGACGCCGCTGACGTTCCGCACGTGGGCGTGGCCCGGCGCGGCCGCGGCGCCGGGCCCCGGCGACGTCGACGACCTCGAGGCGGGCGACGCGGCGCGCCTCGAGTCGCCGCGCGTCGCGAACCCGAGCGAGTCGAGCCGCCGGGGCGCGGCCGTCGACGGCGTCCGCGCGGCGCTCGAGACGATGGTCCCGGGCGAGACGGCCTACGTGGCGACGCGCGGCGGCGACCTCTGCCTCGTCACGCTCCTGTCCTTCGTCGAGCACGAGGACTGCTTCCCGGAGCGGCCGGGGGCCGTGCTGAAGCGGACGCTGCGCCGGCCCGGCGACGACGCGGGCCCGCTGCCGTTCCCGCGCGACCTCGACGTCGTCGCCGTCCGGGGCGTCGTGCGCCGCGCGGGCGGCGGCCCCGTCGCCTGCTGCTACGGCTCCGCCGTCGCGGCGCCGGGGGCCCCCGGCGGCGAGGCGGCGGCGTGGGCGCTCGACGAGGACGCGCGCGCGACGTTCTGTTCGTCGCCGCTCGTCGCCGCGCCGCTCTGCCGCGGCGTCGAGCTCGGCGTGCGGCGCATGGTCGTCGGCGAGGTCGCGGAGATCGCCATCGAGGCGCCGGACCTGGGCTTCGTGCGGCCGCCGTCGGCCGCGGCGCCGCCGACGGCGCCGCGGCTCGCGGACATCGACGCGTTCCACTACGGCGGCCCCGGCGGCGCGCTCGGCGCCGTCGCCGACCCGGCCTGCTACTCGGCGGGCCTCGTCGCGACGCTCGAGCTCGTCTCCGTCGCGCGGCGCGGCGCGGGCCTGCTCCGCGGCGGCGGCGGCGGCGGCGGCGACCCGCTCGCGCGGTGCGCCGCGGCGCTCGAGGCCGCGGAGGAGCTCAAGGCCCTCGGCGGCGCCCACTACAAGGCCGGCGCCTTCGCCCGGGCCGCGCGGCGCTACACGGCGGCCATCGCCGCCGCGGGCGACGCGGGCGACGCGCTCGCGCTCGACCCGCTCGCGCACGCGCACGACCCCGAGGCCGCGGGCCGCGTCGCCTACGACGCGGCCGTCGAGGACGCGCCGGAGCGGGGGCCGACGGCGCTCCAGGCGCGGCGGGCCGACGCCGAGGCGCGGCTCGCCGCGCTCTACCGCGACTGCCGCCTCAACCGCGCCGCGGCGGACCTCAAGCGCTGCGCGCACGACCGCGTCTGCGAGGACTGCCACGCGGTGCTCCAGGTCGACGAGGGCAACCTCAAGGCGCTCTACCGCGGGGGCCGCGCCCTCGTCGCGCTCAAGGACCACGACGGCGCGCGGTCGGGCAGCAAAAGAGAGCGAAATTCCCAACTTCAAAGGCTCATATCTCGGCCGTTTTCCACTCGTTTCGGCTGATTTTTGGACGAGCGATCATCTCTCGGAACGGTCTCGAAGCGTGGGTGCTTTTACCGGAACGCGCGCGCGCGGAACACTCACGTTGAAGCGACGTTGAATCTCTCTTTTGCTGCCCAGGCGCGCGGTCGCTCTTCCGCCGGTGCCTCGACGTCGACGACGCCTGCGACGACGCGAGGCGCGGGCTCCGGGACCTGGACCGCCTCGCGGCCAAGGACCCGGCCAAGGCCTTCAAGGGCGCCTTCGGCCCCCAGCGCGGCCTCGCCGGCGGCGCCTTCGGCGCGTCGGGCCGGCCCAAGCCCGCGCCCGTCGCGCACGACCGGCCCGCGGAGGACCAGGCGAAGCCGAAGCGCGCGGCCGCGGGCGCGCCGGCTTCGAAGCGCGCCCGGGCCGCGGACGTGTCCTAATCTTACAGTGCGTGGGGGGGCGTGGGGCCGCGCCGCGCGGCCGCGGGCGCGCGCGGGAGCCCGCTAGCCCTCGACGGCGGTCCTCACGGCCGCGGACGCGTGCTGGCCGTAGTTGCGCGTCGTGTACTGGACGGCGCTCAGCAGCTTCGGCGCGTCGCCCGGCGCGGCGCGCTTTTTGATCGCGGCGACGCACTTGGCGACCTGGCAGCCGCCCGCGCCGCCAAAGGCCCCGCCGGGCGTCTTGTTGGCGAGGTCCACGAGGACGAGCGCCGCGACCATGGCGCGGCAGCACTTGGACGCGGCGCCGTCGCCGAGCTTCTTGCCCTGGAGGGCCTGGGCGCAGCCCGCGGCGAGCGCGCCGAGCGCCTTGGCGCCCGGCGCGTCGACGGCGCCGGCCGCGGCCGCGAGCATCGGCGACGCCTGCGCGATGAACATGGACACGGCGGGCGCGCGGTTCGAGTCGAGGATGACCGATGTCGCCCCGGGGTCCTTCTGCGCCGCGCGCTTGATGAAGGCGAACTCGTTCTGGATGCACGGCGTCACGAGCTTCGCGCCGTCGAACGCGAGGAGGAACTCGAGGAGCTCGAGCAGCGCGGCCGTCGCCGCGGGGGGGGCGCCGCCCTCGACCAGGGCCTTCTTCGCGACGAGCGCCTTCGCCTCGGCCGCGAAGGCGCCCACGAGCGGGGGGAGCTTCGCGGCGACGCCGTCCGCGAGGTCGCCCCATCGGACGACGGCGCGCACGCCCGGCGCGAGCGCCTCCAGGGCCGCGCCCAGGAGGGCGCCGTCGCCCGGCGCCTGCATGGACGCCCGCATGGCCGCCTGGTGCGCGTCGCTCGTCTTCGCGTAGCCCTCGACCTCCCCGAGGGCGTCGGGGAGCGGCGCCAGCCACGGGTAGGCGACGGCGTCGCCGCCGCTCTCGAGGGCCTGCGGCAGCAGGAGCGCCACGCTGTTGTCCGCGCTGAAGAGGTTGCCCATGGCCTCTCAGGGGGGGCGGGCGACCCGAGCCCTCAGCGCGCGCGGGGTGCGGCCCCTGGCAACAGGCCAGGCCCTTGGCTGCCACAGTTTTTTGTTGCCGACCAACAACATTGACCTCAACGTCTCACGCGCAGGCGCTCCGCTGCCCCCCTGCGAACCACCGCCGCCGCGCGTCTATACGAGGAACGCGTCGGCGGCGCTCCTCGCGCGGGGCTCCAGCGCGGCGACGCCCAGCGCCGCGCGCTCCATGGTGCGCTCGCGGATGCCGCGGACGAGCAGGTCGATGGCGACGGCGTTCTCCGCGCCGCGGGGGATGACGACGTCGGCGTGGGCCTTGGTCGGGAGGATGAACTCGTCGAAGGCGGGCTTCACGAAGGTCATGTACTGCGCGAGGACGCCGTCGAGGTCGCGGCCGCGGCACGCGATGTCGCGCTTGATGCGCCGCGCGAGGCGCACGTCCGGGTCCGCGTCGACGAAGATCTTGATGTCGAACTGGTCCCGGAGCCGCGCGTCCCAGAGCGCCAGGATGCCCTCGAAGACGACGATGCGCGGCACGCCGCCGACGACGACGTCCTCGCGCGCGGGCCGCCGCGCGTTCGCGACGAAGTCGTAGGTCGGCACGCGCACGCCCGCCTCGCCCCGCCGGAGCCGCGCGAGGACGTCGACGCAGTGGTCGAAGTCGAACGCGGCCGGCGCGTCGAAGTTGATGTCCGCGACGCGCGCGAGCTGGCCGTCGCTCAGGTCCCGGTAGAACGAGTCCTGCGTGATGGACACGATGTCCTCGCCGTTGAGCTGCTCGACGACGCGCTCCGTCAGCGCCGTCTTGCCCGACGCCGTGCCGCCGGCGACGCCGATGATGAGCGGCCGCGGCTCGTCGAGGACGCGGCCGTCCGTGGACGCGCCGTAGAACGCCGGCGTGCCGGCGCGCTTCGCCGCCTCCCGGTAGAAGCTCGGCGTCTGCAGCGCGCCCGCGAGGCCCGCGACGCAGAGCACGCGCGGCACCATGATGCGGTGAGGCTGCCCAGCGATGTTTGTTCGAGATGCACCTTCAAGGCCGCTGCGGCCCAATCTTGGGGTTGCTGCTGGTTCTTACTGTAGTATCATCAGAGTGTGATCGAGGATCACCGTCGATGGATTGGATCAAACCGCAGTACTGCCTCTTCGTGTGATCGAGGATTACCATCGATGGATTGGCTCAAGACGCAGCAGATCTGCCTCTTCGCGCCGGCGCCCTTCTTCTCCTATCCACCAAAGGCGGTCCTCGGCGCCTTCTGGGCGTCGGATTATGACAGCGCGTTTGCGCACTTCCACAGAGACCACGACGACGCGCTGAACCTCCGGCTGCATATGCTCTGCTTAGTCTTGCAGCTCGCGACTAATTTTGCGCTCCTCGCGAGCGTGGAGGCCGCGGCCGGCTGGCCCCCGGCGCTCCGCGCGCTCACCGTCGCCTGCTGGGCGCCCGCGCTCCTGTCCGCGCCGGGCTGCCCGCCGGCCGCGCGGCTCGCGTCCGTCGCCGCGCTCGTCGCCGCGGCCGCGGCGGGCAAGCGCGTCGCGGACCGCTGGCGCCCGCTCGTCTTCGCCCAGGGTGTCGTCGTGGCGCTGGCCGTCGACGCCCTGGTGCTCGAGCGGCCGCCGGCGCCCGCGAGCTTCGCGGCCGCGCTCGCGGCCTGGACGGCCGCGGCGGCCGCCGCGGCGCGCCACCGCGGCGCGCTCGCCGCGCACAAGGCCGCCGTCAACGCCGCCGCCGTCGCCGCCGCCGTCGCGCTCGCGGGCCGCGACGACCCGCTCCGCGGCGGCCTCGTGCACTGCGGCGCGTTCGCTTTCTGGCTGCTGGCGACGCTCACGGACCAGGGCTGGCTCTTCTTCTGGGGCTTCGGCTTCGTGGCGACGGTCACCCAGGGCGTCGTCCACGAGGTCACGAAGCAGGAGGCGACGTTGCTCAAGCTCCAGGGCGCGCGCGGCTCCCGGGACGCGTTCGAGTGGGCGCACGTCCTCTACTTCCCGAACCTCGTCTTCCACACGGCGCTGGTTCTAAGAAGCTAGTCCTCGTCGCGGACGAGCGTCCCGCGAAACGCGGCGGCCAGCGCCGCCGCCGCGGCGGGCGGGAGGCGCGTGAAGGACAGGTCGAGCGTCGCGAGCGTCGGGTGCGCCGCCGCCGCGGCCGCGAGCGACGCGGCCGCGTCGCCCGCGACCGCGGAGAGGTCGTTCTCCGCGGCGTCGAGGGACCGGAGCGCGGGCGCCCGGAGCGCGAGGCAGAGGCCCTCGGCGCCGAGGCCGCAGCCGCGCAGCGCGAGGTCCGCGAGCCTTTCGGCGGCGCCGAGCGACCGGAGGAGCCGCGGCGCCGCGGGCCGGTAGCTCGCGTCGAGGACCGCGACGCGCGGCGCGAGCGCGACGACGAGCTCGGCGTCGCCGACGCCCAGCGCCGAGAGGCGCGCGGGCGCGTTTGGTCCGCTGGGCCCGCCCGCGGCGGCGACGAGGTCGCGCGCGTCGTCGAGGACCGCGGCGCCGCACCCGGCGACCGCGCGCGCGAGGTCCCGGGCCCAGGTCAGGGACGGCGGCGCCGGCGTCGCCAATGCGACGCATTCGGCGACGTCCAGGACCTCCGTCGGCGGCGCGGCGCCGACCGCCGCGAGGAGCGGCGCCCAGCTCTCCGGCGCGAACGCGTTGCCGGCGAGGACGAGGCGCCGGAGCCGCGCGGTGCGCGCGGCGAGGCCCCGGGCGAGGGCCGCGGCGACGTCGGCGTTGTGCGCGGGCGGGTAGTCGGCGCCCGCGGGGCGGCGGCACGCGCGGGCGACGTCGAGGTCGCGGAGCGCTTCGTTCGCGACGAGCGCCTCGAGCGCTAGCGCGCCCTCGCGCCAGGTGCCGAGCGTGCCCGCGGGCCGCCGCGTGAGCGGGTTGTCGCCGAGGTCGAGGCGCTCGAGGCGCGGCAGCGCCGCGCCGCGCAGCGGGCTCAGGCACGCGAGGTCGAGGCCGCAGCCGGAGCTCGACGGTCCGCAGCGTCGCGGACGCGAGGGAGAAGCGCCGGAGCGCCGCGGCCGTCGCCGTGCCGCCGCGGCAGAGGCGCGCCTCGAGGGTCGTCGCGCCGGCGGCGAGCTTCGCCTCGACCGTCGCCGCGAGGCCCGCGTCGCGCGTCGCGCCGGCGACGCGGACGCCCGCGCCCGCGAGGGGCTCGGACGCGACGCCGCCGGCGGCCCGGTCGCGCGGCGCCGCGGCGGACGCGGCCCGCGGCCGCGCCGGGGCGCCGCCCGCGCCCCGCGGCGCCGCGGCCTTCCTCCGCGGCCGCGCGGCCGCGGCCGCGCCGGCGCGCGGGCCCCGGCGCCGCGCGCCGCCGTGGCCGGTGCCGCCGGTGCCGCCGGTGCCGCCGCCGCCGGTGGCGATGCCGGTGCCGGTGCCGCCGCCGTTCCCCGTCCCGCCGCCGGCGCCGGCGCCGCCCCGGGGCGGCGCGGCGCGGCCGTCGAGGACCGCGAAGCCCGCCGGGAGCCTGAGGTGCACGAAGCGGCGCCGGAGCCCGCCGCCCGCGTCGGGCGCGGGCCGCGGCGCGACGGCGAGGCGCGCGCGCGCCGCGGGCCGCGGCGCGTCGTCGGGCTCCTGCTTGAGCTCGAAGGGCATGGTCAGCGCCTCGTCGCCCTGGGACCAGGGCTCGTAGCTCTGCGTCGCCGCCTCCTCGGCGGGCAGCGCCGCCGCGTCGCCGCCGGCGCCGAGGTACTTGCCCGCGGCGTCGCGGAAGCCCGCGTCGTCGCCGAGGTCGCGGCGCGCGACGGCGACGCCCAGGAGCGCGTCGCAGAGGAGCGCGCGGAGCGCGCCGTCGTCGTCTCCGCCGCCGCCGGCCGCCTCGAGCATCTTCGCGACCTCGGCGACGGCCGCCTCGTAGCACCGCGCGGCGTCGCCGGGCCGCGGCGGGTCCGCGCGCGCCGCGCAGTCGCCGGCGCAGGTCAGCGCCGCGCCGCAGAGCTCGCGGAGCAGGCGCGCGTCCGCGCGCGCGTCGCCGGCCGCGAGCACCTGGGCGGGAAAAGGGTGCGAAATTCCCAACTTCAAAGGCTCCTATCTCGGTCGTTTTCCGCTCGTTTCGGCTGATTTTTGGACGAGCGATCATCTCTCGGAGCGCTCTCGAAGCGTGGGTGCTGTTTCCGAAACGCGCGCGCGCGCAACACTCACGTTGAAGCGACGTTGAATCACCCTTTTCCTGCCCTGGCGAGCACGGCCTCAAAGGTCGCGCGCGCGGCCGCGAACTCGCGCGCGGCGGCGCCGAGGTCCGGCACCTCGAGG